TATTTTAATCGTGGTTTGATTATATGGGGTGGAATAATTAAATTTTGTGATAGTAACCCAATATCTAGAGATGGCAATTTTCCCTGCCCCACCCCGTCCCCTTGGGGCCCCGCCCCGTGAAGAATTAGAAAAAAAAAAAAATTTGGACATTATTTGTTTTGGACATTTTTTTTGTTTCAAGTGCTTGCTTGCTTTGAATATTGATATAGTTAGTTTGAACATTATTTGCTGGATTTTAAAATCTTGAATTTGTATTTTAAATGAAAAAAAAAAAAAAAACAAATGAGGCAAGAAACGGGGCAAGTCTTCGCCCCATCCCATCTAAGGTGGGGTGGGGGCATGGGACGGGACGGGGAGAGGAGGGGGAGTGGCGTGGTGGGACATGGTGGGGTGAGATTGCCCCGCTTCGAACCCACCCCGTTGCCATCACTACCAATATCAAAACTCAAGTACAATTCAAGACTGTCTACAAAAGCCAGAAGGTCACAATTCTGGTTTACATCATTTTATTTGCTGAAATAAATGCTGGAGTGCAGAAATTAAAGTAGACATCAATATTCAACCAAAGCATCTTTGAATTCTAAACCTACCAACTCAAAGTCCAATGTCCAATAATATAGCAATAGCATAAGCCATAAAGTATCATACTTCACATCAACTTATAATCAGAAAATAACATTACATTAGAATCCAAAAGTAATTACTCATTTTCCAATGCTCTCTCAATATTCTCTGCCATGCCTTGTAGAGAAGAATCAAGATATGCAACCATATCTTCAATTCTCAGCCCTTCAATTGGATCAGCAAAAAATGACCACTCAATCAAACAACCCTTTTGATCATCATCACCATCCATTGATGGCAACACTTCCAATGTTGATTTGTATGTCTTAAATCCCATGTTGTTGTCCAAAACTTCATAGCTTAGACGCTTCTTGATTGGATCAACCTCTAGCAACTTCTCATGGCACCACTTGATAGTCTCTTCACTGCCGGTGCCGTCCGGAGGTGGTGGTAGAGTGGCGGCGCAGTACCGGATTAGGCCGGGCCGCCCCTCGATGCCTTCAACTTTGTAACATGTGTCAATGCTAGGAAGCCACTTGTCGAAGCTGCAAAAATCTTCCAAGAAAGGCCATACATCTTCTGGTTTATGTTTGTTTAGCTTTTTACTTACCTTTGCTTCCCATTTGGGCTGAGAGTCTATTGCCATGGAAAAACCTTTTGACAGAAGACAAGAAGAAAGAGAATTTTCTTGGATGAGAGCCTACAAAATTATATATAGATAATTATATAGGAGAGAGAGAGTTAATTCACTGTTAATTAGTTGACTAGATAAGACTTTTTCTCATATGCCAAACCACCAAAATTCGGCCACGTTGTAACGATATTTATTTCAATAAATGATTCTTCCTTAGTTGGATCCTTTTGTTTGAGAGGTAATACGTATATTTATTGAAATTTTATTATAACAAGTTAGATTTATTTTTCCATCAAAAATCTACTGTAAATTTACTCCCCCCATAGGATAGACTTGCTTTCTTTTTTCGTCTATTCCAAATTATAGGTCATTTTCTTTGTTAAGAGTATAGTTAATTTCTTAATTTCCTAATGAATAATGTCATGTAGCTCTACTATGGTTATAATACTAATAGTGCTAATTGATAGGTTAAATGAAAGGTGAAATTAAATGACTTCATGTATTATTTAATGTCACATTAACGCCACCTAAATTGAGATTGTAACATCAGTGAAACTAAATAACATTACTCTTTTCTAATATGCACATATTTAATGTGCATTGAATCATTATTATTGTAATGTTATATTAAGAAAAATGTCAGTAAGTCACTGTTTGTGAAGATTAGCATCAGATTTTTAGCTGATTTGATAAAAATTCACGAAATATGTGGTTGAAAAATTGGGAATCTCATGAAATATATGGTTAAAATTAATTATTAAATTTGATTTTGATTAAAATTAGATTTTAATTTCATGAGACTTGGGCTAAAATTTATATTTCAAACTATATTAATTAATTAATTTTTTATTGTGTAAAAATGGAAGAAAGTCTATCTCTATGGGAAGACAGAATATTAATTTAACGACAAAAGAAAATGAGCATCATTATGGATAGGGAATAAGTGCTTTTAATAATCCAATACCCCACCACTAATTTCCGTGCACCGACCCCCACCACTCGAATATTTTATTCAAGTGGATCCCTCCATGTGAGGGGGTGTAGACCTTGATGTACACTTTTTGATGTACAAGTAGCATTTTTCAAAATATTTTATTAATAAGGAAGATAAAATAAATTACAAATTTATGGAATGGGTCTGACTTGACTTCCAACTTATTGGTGCATATTAAAATCATAAAATGAGAGAATATATTTTTTTGAAGTGATGTAATGGGGAATATGTAGTTGAAAAAGAAGGAAAAGTTATTGATGTGTAATGAAAAATATTATTTTATTGAAGAATGTGTTGTTAAAAATGAGTAGAAGAATGATAATAAAAAAATAATGTGGCTCAAACGGGGGCTTAAGATGTAATAAACGAACTTTTTATGTTCATCATACTTAGGGTGTGTTTGTCATCCTTTAAAAATTAAATTATTTGCTACAGTATCATTTCTCCACCACATATTCACATAATAAAATATTCTACACACGAACCAATAAATTTTCTTTAAATTTTAACCATGCATTCTCCAAAAAATACTATTCAAAACTCTATTTGTTCTCCCATAATGGGAGACAAACAGGGCTTATACTCTTTTGTTATAATACGCCGAGTGTAGTTTTTTTTTTTTTTTTAACAAGAATATATATATGCATATATAAACGATTTCACTATAAAAATGAATAAAACTTGTAAAGTAATATAAATTATAACTAAAATCAAATTACGAAGGCAAAAACGTAAAAGTATTATAAATTGAACTCAAATGTTAAACGAAGTTCTAGCTACTGTTAATTTCTTCGTTTGATAAATGCTACTTCCGTTCCACTAAAATAAGGTTGCTTCGTTTTTTTTATTCAGATTAAGAAAATATAACTAACATAGTTGAAAATATAAATTTTTCTTAATATATCCCTACATTAAATAACTATTTAAATATGAGTAGTACATATTTATTGATAACAAGGAACATTAAATATGAATATATTAAAAAACTAAAAAATTAGCTATACTATCAACAAGAAAAATGATCTATAATTTGAGACGAACGAAAAAGGAAAGCAAACCTAACTTTACGTGACAGCTGAAGTAAATTATTTTACGTTAAATTTGTAAAGAGGGTCTCGAGCTCAAAACACAAAAACTAGATTTTGAAGTTTCTGCCTTGTCTTGTGCTATGTGATGCGTAAATTAATGTAGTTCTTAATTTTCTAAATTAAAGCTGCTTTTTTTTTTTTTTAACTTGCATGCGTTTGGAATACACAAATTCTTGCATTTGATGAATGGTCACCAATATCAATGTGGTAAGAATGGAGTGGTATATAGCACTAGTGGTTCATTTAAGGGTCTGTTTGATGTAATTTTTTTAGATTGAATCTCGTGGAAAAAAAAAAAAAAGAATTTTGTTGAGCTGTTAAAAAGTAGAAAAAAGTGATTTAAAATAAATTTGGAAAAATGATGTTTAAAGAATTTGTACAGAACATGAGTTAATGTAGTTCAAATTAAAAGTAAGAATGACGATATTGAGTCTCACTGGTGTTAAGCATAAGTTTACGTGGCACAATAAAATCGTTATCAAATTGTCCAGTAAGGTTGGCTGGTTGGCTATATGCCAGTAACCCTATTGTCTACATAAATTGATGCTTAACGCCATTGTAGTTGACTAACATTATTATAAATAAAAAGATATAGGCTCCATTTATTTGCATGTCGACTAAAATTATCTAGACTTGTTTTAAATAACATTCTATTCATGTTATGATGAAACTTTGGGGACTAATAAAGTAATTTAAACATATAAGTGGATGGTTAGTGTTATGGGTGGTAATGAGCCTAGACGGCTCACCAAGCTTGCAAGCTAGGCTCAGGTCAGGCCCAGAGTCTTAGGTCCTTAGGCTCGATGAGTCATACAAGGGCTGACTCATTGAGGGAGTCTATGAGCTCAACCTTGAGCTACTTCATGACTATTGTTCATTTATTACACATATTTCGTGTATTAAAATTGTTTCTATTTATAAACGATTTATAATTTACCAAACGGAGGATAAATTTTGAAGGCATGAAATATGCAGTGTTAAATATTTATAATCATTTGCTGCTGAGCCTTAAATGAGTACTTCTAGAGTGAATTTGCAGCCATAAGAATCAATTTAGTCTCCATTTGACAAATTTATAAATTATACACCTCCGTCTATAAATTTAGAGTGAATCATTTTAATAATTGGCTTATTCCAGAGCTCGAGAATTTTCTTCTCGGTGTTGGCAACATGTGCCACAGGAAAAGTTGGCAAAATTTCAAAGCAAACTGCAATTATTGTATAGTGCCAATAAAGGATTGAAAATTTTGCTATGACAAAATATTATGAATTTTAGTTACTTAATTACTTTCAAATTTCTATTTATTTATTTTTTTTAAAAATTGAACAATATTTTATTAGTGTTCATTTTAACTCCGTTTATGTTTAATAAAGCATGTCTCAAGTCAGGAAAAATTATGTGGGTCGTGAGCATTATGTACTTGTTGCAGTAATTAGTTTTTTATTGTAATTCCGTCACATGGTGTTTATAATTTATCGTATAAATAACGAATTCTTTGTAACCTTGTCTCCGCCTCCATTAAATTAATTAATTAGTGTATTTGTTGTAACAATTTTTTTTCCATATTAAAAAATTGAAAATTACAGCCTGTGCGGTATTTAAAGATCCATTTTCATAAATCAAGAATCAAGTTTCATAATACAAAATTCAGATTTTAATTAATTAATTAATATGTTTTAAATTAACATTTACTCATCATAACCACTACCGCCTTTTACATTAAAATTGGAGAGAGAGGGTTTTCAAATAAGTAAACACTGTCTCTAAGAAACCGCCAAAACTTCGAACGCTCCCTCCTTCGATCAATAAACCCAAATTGATTCTTACTTAAATTCCACAAATATCTGGTCCTTTATTTCAATCAATAGTCGAACTCCCTTTCACATTACTCTCACAGTACATAATTAAAATTACCAAAATCATCACAATCCTTTTGCACTTCAAGAGCGAAAGGCGGTCTCAAGGCTCGTGACCAAAATTTTGAAAAATGGCAATAACAAGGAGTTGTGACCAGATGACAATTCAAAGCCGATGATGCATCTGGAAGTGAACAATGTAAAAGAAGAAGACCGAAAGTCACAAAGGGAGTTCGTGAAGAAATCCCCAAAACTCCGATTGACCAACGAAAACCTAAATTGAAGAATGTAAGTTAATTTTGTAGTCTTTTGAGATTATAGGTAATTCATTTTTTCAAATTTGTTGGATGAGTATGAATAGAACAGTGTTAATTTGGTAGGAAAATTTTCCATTTGTGATCTACAGTTTCTACTGCGATCTGTTATGCATATCTATTACCGTTTGTATAATCTTGTGTCATTATCTTCTGTCACCATTAATATGATTAGCGTGACAATTATTTTTAATAATGATTTGGGACTTTCATTTCTATATTTTATGTTAAGAGAATGTGACTAATATTTGTTGAATAGAATGTGTGAATTGTGGATTCTGACCAATATTACGGATTTTCTTGAGATTTTGAAATGTTTTTGTAATGGTTATTAACTAGTATTATGTGTTTCCCGTTAGATGCTTGTGTGTACAATGTGAATAGAATGTGATCAATTTGATTTAATAGAATGAGTGTAATGTGAAGAGATTGTGTCCAATTTTATGTACTACTGAGATTGGGATATGTTTTTGTCCTGGTTCTTATGTAGTGTTATGTGTTTTCTGTTAGATGATTATGTGAACATGTACAATTTATTTAACATATGTTTACAATTTCTTTAATGTGATCTAGGAAAGGAAGTACGTGATCCTGAAGATCTATGGTTTCAAATAAAATTACCACCAATGTGACCAAGAATGTTCTATCAAAATTCGTTGACAAACAAAGGGCTATTCTGTGCATTACACATGTTTCTCATACTTCATGGAATGCCATGAGATTGTTGTGCAGCCCCAATTGATGCACTACCTTTTGTTG